AGAGAGATGGTAGGGAAAAGGGCTGAGAGAGAGAGAGAGAGAGGTCTCCGTCTCGTGGTCTCTCTGCTATATATGAGAGAGGAGGAGCCGTGTGACCCCAACTTATACCCAGAAGGCCCTCTCTGCGTTACTATGCAACGAGAACGGGGATTTGCTGAACCGATCGAAACAGAAAACTACATATTATGGTTAAAAAGCGCAACACGGCGTCATCTTTTTTGTGGGCTCCACATGTTATTTAAGTATGATCTCTTTGTTTCCTGTCTCTAACGGGACGGGGTGTACTGCGCCCCCGTTATCTATTCCACCTTCAAGTCCCTGAAACCAACCCAAATTCTTACCTCCTCCTAAGGCTGCTGTGCCATCCTTGAGAGTGATATTTTTAGTGTTCTTTGATCATTGAGTTCTAATAAATCTATTTTTTATCATAACAAAAGAAAGAAACTTAAAGATTTTTTTTCCAAAATTTAAAAATAAATAATCATAATAAAAACATGCCCAAATGCTATTAAATTGTGGAAAATGTTGACATCTTTTGTTTCCTTTTTATGGTAAACTGTGACAATTAACTGTGACTAATATTGGATTTATGTTATTGTCTGTCCCAAAAGAAAGAAAAAAAAAAAACCAAGTAAATTTATTTTAAGAATGATGAAAATATGGATAATGTTAAGACAAGGTGTAATTTGGTATTCATTTCAGGTCAAAGATATCATCATCACCCTTGTGGAGGGAGGCCTACAGCAATGGCCTATGTAAAGGAGGGGGGACATGCACTTGGATCATACTATACTTGATTCAAATTGAACCATTTCCATCATCTCCTTCTGCTTTCATTATAAATGGTGAGGTTCTAAGTTCTTCTGAGGGTAAGAGAAAAGGTGATCTCATTTCCTTTTTTTATGTTTTATCTTTCTATTTTTTTAATAATATTTATTGTTCAACAAGGCCCTAAAGATGTGCTTGCTAAAATTGAGTTCATTGCTAATGAAAGGATGCTGTGACCCCTACCAAAATCTACTAAGCTTTAGGTGTCCATGATCTTTAGACCACCCAAGTTTTTCTCCCAGCCAAAAGGATTCAATCCATCTCAACAAAGAGGGCACCTTAGTGTTCATCAAATGGTCTGTCAAACAACCTTGAATTATATCTTCTGTCAATGTCCAAAGATAGTTTTGGAACTCCTTTTAGCACCACTTTGGAATGGCTGTCTCAGGCTCAAATTCAAGCTCAAGGAAGGTGATATGATCTCAAGGCATGCTTAGTAGCTACTGAACTCCCCACAACGATGTCTGTCGAATTCACAGCTTTAACGTTTGCTGCTGCTTGTTTTCCTTGGAGGATGGAGAAGGCATTTAGCAAGCAACCATCTGTCCCACAGCACTTGTAGAGAGCTAATTTGCATGATTATATTTCCCTGGAAATTGATTAGGGATGAAAAAGTATTCGCAAATGCAATTTCAGAGGTTATCATCGAAGTGAAGTGAACTATGAAGAAATAGAAATTTTGTTACGAAAGAAATGTTATTATTTATATAGATTTTAAGGGAAAGATTTTTTTTTACTCAAATCAGGCATTCAAATGATATATTTAAATCTATAATTAATTCTTAAATCATATATTGATCGAGGGTTAGAGTATATATTGAATGTAAAATTATTATTCCATATTTATCTATCGTACCCTGTTAAATTTAACTTCCGTAAAAAATATATAAACCTTAATTCGATATAACTGAAATATCTTATGAGCGAAAAGCTTTGTGAGAAAGTCTGTTGGCTAGTCAGAAGTATAGATTAAAAAACACGTACTTGACATCTGACAACTTGATCTCTAATAAAGTAGAAGTAAGTGACATTGTGTTTCATACGTGAGTGAAACACCGGGTTAGCACATAAGTAAGTGGTACTAATTTTATTATAGTATGTTATAGGAGTGGATTCGGAGGTGATGCCAAGTTCATATAGCATAGTGGTGACCCAATTGAGTTCTACAGCAATGGTGGTGATGATTCGATATTCAACTTTAGTGGTAGATCTTACGATTGTATTCTATTTCTTAAAACTCCAACTAATCAAATTTGCTCTAAGGAAAATAATATAGGTTGATATAGATATTATATCATCAGTGTTGCTTACCCAATCAATATCAGTGAAAACATAGAGATGAAGTGACGAGTATTTACAAAAAAGAAATTCATGATTGAGAGTCCCTTTAAGATATCTCATGACATGTTTTAGTGCAAACCAATGCATAGCGGAGGGCTGATGCATGAATTATGATAATTTATTGACTGTAAATAAGATGTTTTGATATGTGAGAGATAAATACTATAAAGAACTAGGTATTTATTAGTACTATATGGGATCCGTAGTAGTTTTGTCATTATATAATTTAAGGGATTAAATGGTGAAGAGTGGGGTGGTGACTTCTTTGACATTATGCTTGTTCATCTTAGATAATAGATCTCGAATATACTATTTTTAAGATAGGAAAAGTCCAATAGATATGAACACTGCTTCCACTCCTAGAAAATAGCCTAAAGTCCTTAGGTCCTTGATGGGATATCGATCTATCAGTTGCTTAAGGAATTATTGATCTCAATGAAATTATTATATGTGATAATAATATTATCCACGTAGACCAGTAGATATATAATATATCCTTTTTGTTATTATAGGATTAAAGATGTATCAAACTTAGAGTTGACGAAGCTGACTAACATAAAATACAAGCTAGATTCGATATACTAGGTTCTTAAAGCTTGATAAAGTTCATAAATAGTTTTTTATAATTTACAAACATAGTTTGGATATTGAGGATGGATGAAGTTAGGAGGTTACTACATAAAGATATTTTCAGTTAAGGTCTCATTTAAGAAAGTATTATTAATATTTAATTGATGTATATATAAGCTGATAGTCAAACTTAAGATGAGTTAAATTATCGTTTATTTAATAATTGGACCGAAGGTCTTTGTGAAATCAACGCATAGTCATTAGCAAAATCCTTTGGCCACAAGATGTTTTTGTATGTAACATTAGGTCCATCTGGGTTTCGCTTAATTTGAAATATTCATTTATACCCGATGACATTTTGTGTGAGGTGAGATAGCTCATATGACATTATGGAGTATGGCATCATATTTCTCACACATAGTCTTATGCTAATATAGAGATTTTTGGGCTTGGATACTGGTTGTGAGTTTAGTAGGCTTAGGTGGAGAGCTTGTGGTAGAGTGGAGATTAAGAATTTGACGTGATTTAAATATATCAATATTTTAGCGTGTTATCATGTAATATCTAAGCTCGATGATATTATTGGGTTGTGTTGAAGACATAAAAAGTGATGAAGAGTTAATGACACATACATGATTAAGTTGATGCACTTCGATATCACTTGGCCAAAGAGAGACTAAAGACATTATTTATAGTGCCAAGGGTATTTCTTCATTGAGCGTTGTAAAGTGTGCTGATAGAGAGATAGTTTGAGAAATTAAGGGTGAAGTGCTATTGAACTGGAGTAATAAAAGAGTATATGTCTAGAAAAGAACTATTTGTTGATGTGATTAGAGATGCACTTTGAGAGGATTTGAGGTGTATTTATATTGAACCCAGTAGTGGATGATTGTTGTAGTGTCTTATGTTGCTGAAGGAGCAAGATTTTGGAAATAAAAGTTGGATTCAACAAAAATAATATGACGTAATATAAAGATTTTTTTGAGTTTGAAGATCATAGCACTGAAATGCATTATGTTCAACGGAGTACCCAATGAAGATGTAAGGCTTGGATCTTAGTATTAATTTGTGTGAAGAATAGAAGCATAATTAAGGGTAACGTAAATAGTTAAATACTTTGAGTTTTTAAAGGTTTGAGGTTTTGTAAAATAGTTTTTCAAATAGTGACTAGTATTGTAGGATTGGGTGAATATGCGGTTAAGAGGTAGACTATAGTTTAAAAGACTGTTGACCAAAAAGTTAGTAGTATGAAGGCTTAATGTAGAAGGGTAAGATTAGTTTCAACTATGTGTTGTTGCTTTTGTTTAACAGATCCAACCAATTGAAGTATGTGATGGTGACTTAAGATGTTGTATATCATATGATGAGAGATAAGTTGTAAAGACTTGGTATTCATATCATCCATCATCATTTTTTCAGAATAAATAAAAACTGTGATGACTTCATATTTATGTTTGAGAGGATATAACCATATAAATTTAGTAAAGTAATCTAGAAAATAATATAAAGTCTTAAATTATTAAAGGAAGTCATTGGGGCAGACCTAGATATCAATGTAAATAATTTTAAGTTGTTTGGAGTAAGATAATGAAGACATTCCAAAAGATGGTAACTTTTATTACTAAGGCAAATAAAATAATGAGTTATAATTTTACTTGATTTAAAAGTTAGAATGGAGTAACGAGAAATTAGTTGTTATTGAATGAAAGATGATAGAGCCCAAGGCGACGATGTTATACATCAATTGAAATAACTAAAGTAGGAGTGATTGACTAGATGATGAGTGATTGACTAGATGATTTATGAGGTTGATGATCACTTATATATATTATTTTTATTCTGGTCTCCAACTAAGGATAACCATGTGCTTATATTCTTTATAAGCAACGAGTTAGGAAAGAACTTAATAAATATATTATTTTACTTATAAAATTGAGAGAGAAATAAGATTTCTTTTGATACAAGGTGTATACAAAATATCATTGAGTGTAAAAGTGTTATGGAACCTGTATGAGTGATAGGGATTCTTTTACTGTCACTAATGATGATGTCTTCATTGCCTCCATAATCGATATAGATATATAAATTTTATAAATCAAAAGTGATATAATGAGAAGCTCTAAATCGAAAGTAATAAAATGTTATAATAAGAAAAAAAGGAAGTCTTGCTTGAAATAAGAAGACTTGGATGATATCAACAATTATACAAGTTATGAGAAAGATTTTTTTCTCAATCATACATTTAAGTCATACATTCAAATGATACATTCCGAACATTGGAATATATAATGAATACACTCCGTACATTTCAATATATAAGGAATACATCATGAACTTCTATAAAACTATTATAGAGTGGAAAAAAAAAGAAAACTATAGCAATCAAGAAAGAAAGGTTATCATTAATATGAAATGAACAATTACAGAGTTGGAAAAAAGAAAAATATAACACATGTACCTTTCAATCCTTCCAGTAATGCATATCTCCCAAAATTCCAAGTACATGATATCATCTTCACCATATGGACAAGATCAACAATACCATCATGAACAAGTACCAATATACATATAGTTATTACCAAACTGCATAAAAATGAGAGCCTCTTTCAAACACATTATCACAATACAAACATTTTGCAAGATATAGAACAAAACTCAACAGAAATATGCAGTCTCACTAGAGCGAGGGGAAATTTGTTATAGCTATTTACAAGCTTATCAGAATTATGTTATATCTTCCTGTAAATGTTGAATTTGTCACCGGTATTGCTGCCTCCCAGCAGTTTATTAATAACAACAGTTGCCGCTCCCTGACCATCAAATCGAGCACCATGTGAATCTTCTGCAATCTGCAGTGATGCAACAGCCTGTGCAGCCTCTAATCCTGCAGAGATATCTGCTCCTCGACCAGCTTCATCATAAGCTGATGAGCGAAAATCTTTCAGGTGAAATTGAGATGGCAATGGCAGTCCGATCCCCCAATTGTTACACTTCCATGCAGGGACATGTGCTTCGGTTGCCCACCCCAGTCCATTGCCAGAAGAATATTTTGCTAAGCCTTGATAACCCATTAAATGATCAATACTATGTGAATACTCCCATGGGCTATGTTCACTAGCATCCTTCACCATGAAATGACAGGATTCATCTGTGTCCTCCCCTACAAGGACATGAAGAGCAACTGACTCAGCGATTGCAGCACCTTCTGCATCCAACCTTTGCTGTTCTTCTATCTTCTTCTGTTTTTTCTTCTCCAATTCAGAACGTATGGCTGCAGAGGTTGCAAGTGCTTTCTCTAAGCGCCTCTTTTTCTTCTCAGCCTGCTTCAGGCGATCCAACTCACCCTTGGCCTGCTTCTTTTTTCCTTTCTTCAAGACTGGACTTACCTGACCACATTTTACTTTCTCCATTGACTAATTATCCCTCTAAGATGTCAATTTCAGCTTATTTATTCAAATGACTAATACCCAGACAAGATGACTTCTGAAACCACTCTAGAGCTTCAACCTAAAATTTCAAAAATCTTCCCAACTATTCTTTGCCAGAAATATAAAGACTACTTGAAAGGTTAATACCACAAACCTACACCCATTCCGGTCTGAAGGAATATCTGATTTTACGAAAAATGCAATCCCAAAAGGAAACAACAGGAGAAAGGAGGAGAGAGAAATGATAAGTACTAGCTAACGCATTTCTGATGGCTCTTTTCCCCAAATTGTCACAGCACAAATGCTCACCCATATTAAAAACACCAGGACTGCAAAATACCAACCACAACAGCCTTAGTGGAAGGACAAAAGTACTCGATGAAACAGATCATAAGACCTTCTCACTGCAGAAAAGGAAAAACATTTATTATATCAGAATCAAAACTAAATGATTTTATTGAAAAAAATATACAAAAGAAGGAAATAGTGGATGCAAAAGGTGTAGAAATTATTCAATCAGTATTTCCACAAAAGCACTATAATTAATATTATCTCAAAAAAGACTCAGGATTTACCACACTTTAAATATATGTGTCATATTGCATGCTTCCATGAAAGAATCTTGAGCCCAGAATCCATAAGAAGGTACAGAAAAATGGTAGTATCCTGTATCCTTTGCCGTGTTAAGTTTGTTGTCATAATAAGCAATTACCTCAGTTGCAAGTCGAAGAATTCAGTTGCAAGAATGAAATCAAAGAAGCAATTAAGTTAAAATGCATGTGCTGTTTTCACCTATTAAGCCAGATTCCCGACAAGAACTACTTGACAATGATCAATTTGCAGATCCTAGCTACAGATGCATACACCCATATGTATTGCTGCCAAAACTCCAAGAGGAACTTGACATCAGAGACTTTAAATGTTTCCAGTACATATGATTAATGTCTTCCACAGCTGTAATTCATGCTTCCCTGTTTAAAAAAAGGAATGATAAACAGTAGTCATTTCTCACTTCCTTATTTTTACATGAAAACAAAAAAGAAAAATCCTCTTAATCAATTGAACCAAATTAGCTAAGTAATTATCTTATATTTCTTGAGATGGAAATGAAAATTTTAGGATATTGCAACCAATGCAAAGTTTCAATGCCTTCCTCCCCATCCTTACTCCAGTTCCATTTGTTCCTAATCACTAGCCATAATCCCCGACAATGATCGTAGACCAAATTTTCAGATCTTGAGTTCAATAGTTACTAATAGATTCAGCAATGATATTGACATTACAACGTCATAAATCTTTAAGAAACACATACAATCTATAAAAGAATGCATACAAAAGATAGGAGCATGTAAAACCCCAATTATATACAGGCCAAGAAGACGATTAAGAATAAGCCAAACAATCAATGCATTAAAGAAGGTAACACAAGCTCGTTGACATCTACATCAAATTTTGATCTTTCAAACCCTTTGTCCTTTGCAATGATAACTAAACAATTAAGGGAAATCCTACAACTTATCACCTTTTAACTTCAGCATGATAAATAAAATAGGCGATAACAAATAATCCATTACATGCCTACAAGAAAAGCTGCAGTCCGTGTACCACAAGGTTTTTAACCTTGATAATTAAGCACTAACATGCACTCTATTTGCAGCCTTCATGGACTAGAACCAACATGGTGATCATGCATTTGGCATCTAAGTCTGGCGTTTCACCAAATGCCAAATAAGAAACAGAAGGCAAGAAATCCAATAGAAGGAATAAAAGATCATTAGAACGAAACAAGAAGATACAGTATGTACTATTTCATAAAACAAATGTGCAGTGAGACCAATGATAATTGAAATTTATCTCAATGGGCAATCTAAACCTTGTACCTTTATTCATTGTGATCCTCAAACAGTATTGTGTTAGATGAAAGTAGTCCCTAACCTGTTAGTAATGCTGGCTTCGCATAGATAACCATCGGCAGAAGTTATATAATCTACACCACCAATGCTGTGACATGAAATTATATGACTGATGCAATAATTAATTGAACTATTTTGTATATAGGAAGGTTGCCACAAATCAGTCAGCTAAGTGTTTTTGGAACAAGCCAACACAGTAGACTTGGTGCTTCAGATTTGTCCTGGATAATTCAGGCATTGCCGACCAAAGAGAAGTAATAAATGCAGCAAATGGGATCACGATACAGATGTTAATAATAATTTTTGAAGAAATAGAACATCTTTGAAGATAATTTAAGATATCCAAGTCTTCGTTATCGCTTCTTGCTATTCTCAAGTCTTAACCTAACCATTACTATATGCAAATCATCACGCCTTTCATAAACTTCTCAGGCTACATTATTCATCAAAATGCTGGAAGCATTTACAGAGGATTCATGAAAAAGGCTGTCCCTCCATTTTAGCAATAATTAAGTGTCCCAGATTTGAATAGTCCAAGTGAAAAATCTCCACCTCGTGGATAGAAGCAACACGCGCATAGTCCAAGTGTCATGTTTCCTGGCATCCAATCGTTTCCGATCTCGCAAACGACCTAATTTATTGTTCCGAAGCGTGCAACATCACCAATTACTTACAGAGCATAACAAATCCCTAAACCTTACATTAAGAAAAAACTAAGCCCTAATCCGATGAGACGAACTACAAAGTAAACTACGGAAATATAGAACCGGAAATGAATCCTACTCATCTCAGCGTGCAGATCCACCAACAGGAACTCATAAAATTCAGCACCACATTAATAACATCGAAAAGAGGGGAAAATCCCCGGAAAAGAAGTCAGGAGAGCTGTACCTGGCTGAATTGAGCAAGAAAGGAACCGATTCGAGCTTCCTCCGTCCTCGCGACCGCGTATATTAACCCGAGAGAAACGATCAATGAGAGTTCCGATCTGAGATCTACCGTAGTCTCCCCGGGGAGGGGGGGGGTCGGTGGGTGGGGTGAGGAAGGGAGGGAGAGAGAGGTGTGTGAGGGTCGGGTTGGATTAGCAACTGATCACATGCGAGAGGCGTGAGGGAGGCACAAGAAACCGAGGGCAAGGGTATTAACGTCATTTAACCAACGATAACATCCGACGGCGTACGTCCGGATGCGATCCCTATGCGAGATCATCGAACGGTTGGAATCGAAGGATCGACCTTGTCCGCATATAAATTTTATGCGAGGAGATGACGGGCGTTTCTGCGAGTGCGCGAAGCACTCCCTTTGTGTGACGCTTGGTGTACCAAGTAACAGTGGCGCGCGTGCCACGTCAGTCTCACGCTGACCTGATGCGATAGCGGATGGCAGCGGGTCGGATTTATCATACGCGACCCGCTCTAATCGGGTCCGGATTCCATTTAATTGATTTAAGATTTCTATTTTTTGTTATTTCATTTTATTTTTAATCTATTATTTTTTCTGCCTCGGTCTCCAATACAAGCAATCGAGGTTAAGAAAAATAAATAATTAATTAAACACCATTAATATTAACGAATAAATTTGAACTGTTTTCAGATGGATTGGATTCATTTGCACCCGAATTCATATCTCGTGTTGCGAGTCTAGATCGAGCCCCAAGTCCAATAACCCAACTCCAGTCATGTCATCGGATCCGCCTTCGACGAAGGTTTATGTGATCCTCTCCAAATCGAACCTGTCCGATGATTAACCTCTCTCGATCTCCACCCTCCATCCGCTCATTCTTCTATCGCAACCCTCCATTTGTATCATTGATGCACGTGGATCCCACTGTGGACGGCTGGGCTGTGGAGAGGGGCTATTGGATCCGACACGTGCTGGAGAGGATCCGTTCTGGGGTACGTTTTCCTTGGATCTCCCATTGCTTTCGAGGACGATCGCTATTGGAATCACGGCGGCCGGCGTTGCTCTGTTTCCTCTCTCTTCCTTCTACATCTCGCCCGCAAGGAGGTTTTCGCCGGCAAGCGCAGGCCGATGGTGGGGGCGTCGGAGGCAGCGCGGATGGAGCGGCTCGAGAGCCAGGTCGAGAACGGCGGCGGGGGGGCGTGGGAGTATCTCTGCCTCGTGCGCAAGCTCAAGGCCCGGCGATCCAACAAGGTCCTCAAGCACGGCCTGTCGATCTTGAACGACCACAGGGCCCGATCCAAGCTGGGAGCGGAAGGTTGGTTCTGTCACTATATATCTTCTGTCGGTTCATATTTGGCGATCTCTTCAAAATTGCTCATGGATCATCTCTATGGAAAAGTTAATCTGTTTGTGGAACTGCTAACCATGGTATAAATCATTGCTCGAGCATTAGGTGCCTGCATCCTGCTCCTTTTGAGACCTTTATTGGTGTTTCTATCAGGACAAGCGATGGATCCCATGCAGCAAAACCTATCACCAATGAAGGATTTTGTTGCGTGTGATCAGACTGATATTACAAGAAAATAAGCAGATTCACACTAGGTCAAATAAATACTTGAGAATGCGGCAAGCAATATATTTATTGAATTCAGATGGTAGATCCAGACAATCTGCAGAAAGGACTTAATGGAACAATTGTCATGTTAAAATATAGCCATTGGAAGATGGCATTTATATTTACAGAGTATAATTGGTATTTAAGGAGCTATCGAGCTCATAGGAGAACTATTACAACCAGTACTTCTTTGTTATATTAGTACCATCGGGGAAGTCCTACTAATGTCATAAACAAGTCTTATAAGCGAGTGGCATTTTCCTCCATAATTGAATTGGCTAATGCTGAGGAAATTAGGCTCCAACCGGACAACTTATTGAGCGTTTGAAATTTATTTTCAATTTATAGAACTAGTAAACTTATGTTAGTTGGCCAACAAAACCAAATATCTATGGAACAAAGCCTACCAAAGTCAGGGTCCGTAAGTAAAGCTTCTGTAAGTTTGCTGATATATCGAGTTGGATTTCATGTACAAGAATATTATCCTCTTACATGTCACTTGCATTAATTGAACTTTTACCTAGCAAACATCTATGAGAATGATAATTCCTGGCAAAGTTAGATGAATCTCTGTGTTACTCACAAATAATTGCATATTCGGTGTCAACCCTTTTTACTGAGCTACAGAGACATAGGCCTCGTGGTTTTGAATTCAGGTGATGATAACTATGGTATCATTAGTGGTCTTAGGCCCAACTAAGAAATGACTGTTCAAGATGCAGATTCGGTTATGGTGTTATGCATACTGTATGCTGCCTTTAGGGAATGTTTTTTGTCATTTTTGGTGTCAAGTTATAATTAAAAATTAAGTAGACCAAGAAAATCTTTGAAGGCATACAATGTGCTACCAGGTCGTGAAGAATTGATTATATTCTGATTTCATCGTTAGTTTCACAGTAAAATATAATTAGGGTTTAATTTTTTGCAGCCATGACTGTGTATTGCTATATTGAGATGGTCATGTCAGTGTAGATTGAGGAAAAAAGATAAATAGAGACGTACTCTTTGAAGCACAACAGGTGTAAAAGGGATGTAGATGCTGTTTGGTCAAGGGACTTCTTGCGTGACTTCATCCATAATCTAGAGGGTGTGGTCATAGACTCACTCCAGATTTTATTTTTATAACTGTTCTCACATTTTTTGATGAAAAAATTAAGAAAATCACATGGAAATATATGTTCATTAAATAGGGAAATTTTGGATGAAAATAATATTGATGCATTCTCAGTGAAAAATGGTTTTGGTTTTGTTCCCTCCATTGATCTTGATGTCCTTCCTGTATTGAGCTGCATAAACTGAAATGTAGCCATGCTTCCTTAGGATACTCTTTTAAAGTCTGGATACAAAAATGAGTTTTCAATTTCAACTAGAAATAATTGTTGGAAAAATTAGTCTGTGGTATGATCATATAAGATTACTGTCTCCTTATTGTATTATACTTTTCAACTAAAGGCAGTTACATAAACTGACGATCAAATTCCTTCTTTACAATGATCACTGCTTGCTGTTATCTCTTTATTGCAATTGTTACACTCATACATGTACCACATGCATAAATGTACGGATGCAAATAAAATAGATGTAGTCATTATGAGCAATAGAGGAATCCAATACTTGTTTTCTTTGATGCAGAATGGACTCTTTATGAGCAGGTGGCCTTTGCTGCTATGGATTGCCAGCAGCATGATGTTGCAAAGGTAAAGATCTCTCTCTCTCTCCCTCAACCTATCTATCTTACTGTCTTTTGTTTTATCTTTTTTCTGAATTTCCTTTTACATATAAAGACATAATTGTTGCAACAATTTCTCATGGTATGCTCAACGACTTATTTTCTCCTTTATGCTCAAATGGTTAGTCCATGCTGATTGTGTTATTCACTGCTGAGCAATAAATTCTTACACCTTGCAGTTCTTTTCTAGTGAATAGCTCATTAAAAAATTAACTGGATCAGAAATACATGTATAGTAAAATTTCACTATTAGATATTTGTTTGCAAGGAGTAACATTGGCCGGAGTCACAGTGGAATATGTTATAATCCCCTTATCTTTGAAACTTGACCATTTATTTTGCATATGGTCTAAGAAATCAGCATGTTGCTTTTAAATGCATTTCAAGATTGTTTGTTTATCATATTTTGTCTTATTGTTTGCAGGATTGCATTGCAGTTCTCTCAAAACAATTCCCTGGAAGCATAAGAATTGGTGAGAATTTTTAGTGTTAACATTTTTTTGTCTTCTATAAAAAATAATTTACCTATATCAGAATACCATGCAATCTACTTTTTGTTTTTTAGGTTTTATACAGTGCATGTGTTGATTTCTTGCAGAGGCTTGTACAAGTTACTTCTACTTAACCTTTGATACAATTATTCTCAGGCAGAGTAGAAGGGATGCTGCTCGAGTCCAAAGGAGCATGGGCTGAAGCAGAAAAGGTTTATGCACGTCTTCTAGACGATAGCCCACTCGATCAGGTAGTCTCTGGCTGTTCTTCTTTAACCATCTGGCTGTTCTTCTTCAATCGTTTCTGAATGTACAGAAGTAATTCTGTTTATGTTTATAGATCCAAAAGTTTAAATGGTGATTATAATTGGTCGATTGGCAGTCAATCAATGATTAGGTTGAATTCATTTACTCAAGTTTAAGTAGAATTAGAGGACATCAATATCGCTAATTTTCCTTGGGGGTTTATCTCAGTGGTTTCATAAATTCAAGATGTATCTTAGTTAGTTGGTTTTTTCTTATATTTTCTCTCTTTAGCTGGCATATATTTGTTATTATTTCTTGAAAAGTGATGCATAGAAAGTCTAAGACCGACACCAACCATGCAGATAATTCACAAGAGAAAGGTTGCTATGGCAAAAGCACAAGGAGATTTATCAGCTGCTGTCAAATTTCTCAACAAGTACCTAGAAATGTAAGGACTGTTTCCAGGCATCTTCTATCGCTATCCTTTTCTGTTACATTGTGATAAAAATATTTTCAATGAATTGATTATTGTTAAATCTTATATCAGATTCATGGCAGATCATGATGCTTGGAGAGAACTGGCTGAAATCTATGTGTCTCTACAGATGTAAGGCATCTCAACTGTCACTCTTGTAATAACATTAAAGCGTGTTTCTTTTCATTAAGATGTGCATATCTTCGTTCTCTGATTAGGTATAAGCAAGCAGCCTTTTGTTATGAGGAGCTGATACTATCTCAACCAACAGTTCCTCCATATCATCTAGCTTATGCAGAGGCAAGTGGCCTACTACTATCTGTCTTGATGACAACATTTTTGTTTTCAAGTTCTAGCATAAGGGCATGTGGTAGTTTCTTATTCTCGATACTTTGATTCAACAGGTACTTTACACCATTGGTGGTTTAGAAAATCTTCAGACAGCTAAAAAATACTATGCATCAACGGTTGCCTTAACCGGGGGAAAGAACACTAGAGCTCTCTATGGCGTATGTTCGGTAAGATATCCCCGAGTAACTTACAAATCTCTTGCAACAATCATATTGATGTGCAATCCAAATTTCTCCAGTGTAGTGTTGCGATCCGTCAGCTAACAAAAGGACGGAACAAGGAAGAGAAAGAGATGTCTGATCTACAAACTCTAGCTGCAGAGGCTTTGCAAAGGGACTACAAGCAGAGGGCTCCCAATAAACTACCCCTTCTCATGAGCATGCTAAAGAACATGAAATTGAACTCCTGATTCTGATTTTTCTATGAAATCCTTGTCACTTTAATCAAGAAAATTCACAGAAGTGATGAAGAAAACATGGTCTATTTGTTTGGGGGATTTTTTTTTGTCCTCTTTCCCCTTGGGATTATAGTGGCTAATATGCTGCCAAAATCAAATCATGTTTGTCTACTAACATTAAGTTTATTCTTTCAGCTAAGTTTCAATCTAGAGAATTGCTATTGTAGAACTACTTTTGGAGTGGTATTATTTCAAATCATGGTAATATTTCAGATTATAAGTCTTCTTGGGATGTGCTTTGATTTATTTAGCTTATATTTCTTAGCATTATTATAACTGCGGCTTCCAACATCTCCTCCGCGTCAGGAGTTCCCATGTGCCGCGCACTTGTTCTATTTAAAAGTATTTCCAAAATAACTTGTTTTTTGAATCATTTTTAAAGTAACAGTAACATGTGGCGAATCCAAAAATCACGGAAGCGTTTTCTGGAATTGTTATTTCCAAGAGTGTTTCTCAGAAAATATTTTTTGTGAAAACATTACAAGTAATCTGGAAACATTTATTTTTTTGAAAAATGTTTCAAAAAGCAGCTCTCATCTCACTCGACCGTCGATTGTTCCTCTCTCTCTCTTCTCTCTCTCTCTCTCTCTCTCTCTCTCTCGGTGATGGCGGTCGCGCTGTCTTCTCTCCTCTCCCTTCGCCCCTCCTCTTCGCCTGCAGCTTCTACGGCCCGGACCGCCATCTGCCCAGTTCACCTCCCAGCTAACCGGAACAGCTCCTCCTCTTCACTCTCTTCTCGCCGCCATCACCACTCGCTCTTCTCACGTTCAACCACCATCTACAGAAGGCCGACGATCGCCGCCGCCCACCGCCTCGCGGTGCCTCTCATCTCCCCCGACGACCAATGGGGCAACTGGACCGCCCTCTTCGCCGCCGGCGCCTTCGGCATCTGGTCTCACCGCGCTCTCCTCCCTCCCTCTATGATCGAGAATTCACGCTAGACGTCTCCCCCTTTCCCTGTTTCTGATGTGTTTTCTTTGGGTTTCTTAAAGGTCGGAGAAGACCAAGGTAGGGAGCGCGTTGAGCGGCGCGCTGGTGAGCACCTTGGTCGGGCTAGCGGCGAGCAGCGCCGGCATCATCGCCTCCGATGCGTCCGCCTACCGGGTGGTGCTGGACTACTTGCTCCCGATGGCCGTGCCTCTGCTGCTCTTCAACGCGGACCTCCGCCGTGTCCTCAGGTCCACCGGGACTCTGCTCCTTGCGTTCTTGGTCGGATCTGGCACGTTTCTGTTCCCTGATGGTTCTTGATCTTGTTTCTCTAGTGTTCTTTGTTTGAAATGATTCGTTAATCATCACTCTTAGGATTAGTAACACTAAGGGGTATAACAATTTCACAAGCATACTGATCTCCTCTTATCATCTGAAATCTTATATATACTCAATAAAACATCAATATGGTTCTAATGCATTTCATGTTATGATGAAACTTGGAGTGCTAATATGTCGAGTTTACTTTGTTGTTTTCATTACTGTTGTGTTATCGTTTGTTGCATTCTTTTACCTCTACTTTTAGTTCGAGGTCCTCTGATTCTGAATTGCTGTATGACAGTGGCCACGACAATTGGCACCGTAGTAGCATATCTTCTGGTGCCCATGCGATCACTCGGACAGGATAGTTGGAAGATTGCAGCAGCCTTAATGAGCAGACACATCGGCGGAGGTATCAATTGAGAATGTTGTGTTTTTCTGTGTTTGTGGTTCTTTAGCTATTTTTCCTCGCATATTGCAATGATTTGTTTGGCGATGTATCGGAAGATGAAAAGGAGCCCTGAATTCAAGACACTGTTTAAGTAGATCAATGCCTTATTGGCCCATAAACATTGGATTGAGATGTCATATATATATATAAGAAGAAAGCATTTGGTACTTCCATAAAATTCATACTGACCTACCCGGAACTCTTTGGACATGTGTGATCCAATAATTTACTTAATGATTATTGATGTCTTATCATGGTTTTTCACTTCAGTCTAATTGGAAATTGAGTAATATAAAAGTTTGTTGAGTCCCATTTGTTTTACACTTTTAGCTGGATTGTTTTCATTTCAATTTTTATCTACATTAGAGTTTCTTGTTTATGTATTTATTTCATGTATATATGATTTAATTTGTAATCTTGACCTTAATATTATAATTGATCTGCATAACGTTTCAGCGGTCAATTATGTTGCTGTTTCGGAGGCTCTTGGTGTTTCCCCTTCAGTTCTAGCTGCAGGGCTAGCTGCAGACAATGTTATATGTGCAGTATATTTTACCTCTCTGTTTGCGTTAGCCTCTAGAATACCTCCAGAAGTTTCTACAACTGTAAATGGTGGGTACATATTACTTACGATATTTTTCACTCACGCATGCAAATGCAGAACACTGTGATTTTTCTGGTCGTTGGTGATCTTGTATATTGCTCTGCTAACTTTTGTGTTGTCTGTCAGATACAGCTTATTATTCACTATGAAAATGGATGTAGTGCAACTAACTGTCTACCTAAATAATTTTGTATCTTGACAAATTTTGACAGTCATGAGTTAAATTTGTGTGAGCTGACACAATGTGATTCGATGATAACTTTGATTAGGCTTCTAAGTAGAAGAACGATGCTAACAAGTAGTATTGTTTTTTGAGATCCAACCTGAACATCGTATCTTGCAAATAAACTGTTTGGAACAGACTTTGAGAAGTTATTATAAATTTTGCTGATGCATTAAACAACTTAAAATGTCACAAATCTATCAAACTTTTTGCAATGGAAAAATGTGCTTAAAAGTATAATATATTCACTAAATTAAGAGGAACCAATCATTAAAGAAAAATATTTTCACTAACAAGAAGACAAAATAAGTATGAGGTTATGTTCAGATGAAAGCTGGAGTGTGTTTCAAACATGTAGGCTACACAACTATGTTTAACATGAATAATAATATAGCTTATAGGTTGTTGCAACTTGCAAGTACTAAACAATGTCTTATAGCTATCCTATTTGAAAATTTCCTCTCTCTTGATCTGATTTATGAAGAACTGTATGTCTTATGTATCAGAACATATACAAACAATGGGGAGTACGTTTCAATATCACGTGAAACGGAATCTGGTTTTGTAAAATTCAGCATTCATTCAACGAGTCAATCTTGAAATATGAAAGAATGTTGCATGGTAGTCTCTACAAACCTTTTTATGGCAAACGAATAACAAAGTAGTCTATTTTGCTGGTGATTCTTAATGTCTACTATCTGGATGATTTCCTATTATGCAATTTTTGTGTTTGTGAATAGATCTTTTCTGTTGAGATTGTACGAAAAGTACTAGAATCAAGAGACCATATACTGAGTATGTAGGTGCTCTGAGAGAATTAAATAATGGTTTTGTTTGAATGCAAACTAATTTCAAGTACATATACCATATAGATTTAATGGTCTTCCACAATTTTGATTGCCTTGAAGTTTTTGATGAGCCATATAGGAGTTACACCCATATGTGCCAATTGAACAACAGCATCAATGATTGCAATCAAAGCTCACATGACTAATGTATTCCAATTAAAAAAATATGGACATTTTTAATCCTATTTTTGTAGACAGTTATTCTTAAATCTCTGCATGCTTGTCATCCAAAATTCTTGACCTTGGCAGATGCTCGGATGGACTCCGAAACAAAGGCAGGAAATAAGCTACCTGTGTTACAAAGTGCTACATCCATCTTTATTTCCTTTGCAATCTGCAAAGCAGCTACTTTTATAACCAAATATTATGGTATTCAAGGTGGAAATCTTCCATGCATAACAGCAATCGTTGTGGCCTTGGCAACCATATTTCCATCACAATTTAGTGGCCTTGCTCCTGCAAGTGAAGCTATGGCTTTGATTTTGATGCAGGTAAAATCTCTCTTTCCTAGGTTCTTTATAGATGCTTTCCTTCGTACCTGCCTCTTGCGATTCTGTGGTTTCCAGTAAGCTTCCCATAAGAATAAGTTGTTTGCCACTGGTCATCAGGCTTTAAATTATTTGTGCAGTATCTGTATGTAAACCAACAATATGCTCGCTTTAACAAGATTTGTATGCTTTACAAGTTAAACTAGGAAGTTTCCTTTGTTGATAATTTGCATTACCACATCGTTGTGTTCTAACAAGCAACAGTATTCAGCGGTAGCTAGGCCATTGTTTTGCACTGTTGAAATAAACATTGCAGGACTAGCATGGAGTTCTGCACAATCATAAGCCCAAATATAGATATGCTTAGATGAAAAATATGGTAATGCCATTAAGAGTTTATATACAGAAGTTAAAGGATGTGAACATTTCATCGACTTCATGATTGCTAGATCAATTATATGGGAATTCATCTTCCACCTTTTTTTGGAGCTCTCGAAAGGATTTATCGACGGACTTCTGACCAGATAAAATTATTCTAGTCCATGATCATGCTAGTCTCATTTCAGCATTCCTGAAATATGTTCTATAAAACGAGTTGACATGATATCTGAAGTTGGCCATTCGATCTGGAATCCAACAAAAACTGTTGATCAGTTCTGCCCCTTGTTTCTTTTGTCAGTGTAAGGTTTGATGAAATTCCATCCAGTATGAAGCAATCTAATTCTGTCATTCAACGATACACACTCAGGCATGGAATCTTTTTATTCCTTGAGGTGTGATTAGCTAAAGCTATATTTTCTCACAATAGGTTTTCTTTGCTGTTGTTGGAGCAAATGGTAGTATTTGGAATGTGATTAACACAACACCTGGCATCTTTGCATTTGCTTCGGTCCAAATAGCGGTGCATCTTGCCATAATTCTTGGACTCGGAAGACTACTTGGATTTGAGCAGAAGTTGCTTCTGATAGCATCAAATGCCAATGTTGGGGGACCTACAACGGCTTGCGGAATGGCAACCGCCAAAGGTTGGACCTCTTTGATAGTCCCTGGGATTCTCGCAGGCATTTTTGGAATTGCAATCGCGACCTTTCTGGGCATTGGATTTGGGTTGTTTGTCCTTCAGAAGATGTAGAACCCTTCGAGGTATGCTGCATGGTCGCATTATTTCACATCGAATATCCATACCTCTGTGCATCTCCTAATACTCCTTGGTTGTCACCTTCCAGCATGGACTTGCTAGAGGAGCTCACTGAGAATAATTTGTGGTGCACTCTCGGCTTCATCTGTGTGTCTCCTAATACTCCTTGGTTGTCACCTTCCAGAATGGACTTGCTAGAGGAGCTCACTGAGAATAATTTGTGGTGCACTCTCGACTTCTCGCAGGGATATCAATGCATAGGAATTAGACCTGCAAGCTAAATGTTTGATGTCATTTCTTTGTGAACTGCTTATTGTACACAAACTTGTTTGCGAACTGCAAGTCTTTCAGCATCTGTATGCCATTCCTGTTGTGTTTCATCCTCCATGTTTCTTTTTTCATCATATTAAGCTTGATTGATAGAAAGGCCAACCAGAGTTGGCATCAATCATCACCACAGACATAGCTATTTGCCTTTGAGATTTCCTAGAAAAGGTTGGTTCTATATGTGCTACATTGTCAATCTAAATAATACTTGATATGATCATAGTCATTTTGGAAAACTTCAAGCACTGATATTAGTCCATCTTTGAGAGTTTTACATTTTGTCAACTATATTTGTGATAAGATTACTTTTTTTTTTTTTAATGGCAGATCTGAGTCTTAGGAATCCTTTACCCTAAGGGCGAGCAGAAGTTTACGGTAATATTATTTCTTTGTGAATTATTGTTACATCATTCTTTCTAATATACCCGAAGGGCGAGCAGAAATTTACGGTAAGATTACTTCTTTGTGAATTATTGTTGCATCCTTCTTTCTAATTTACCCGAAGGGCGAGTAGAAGTTTACGGTAAGATTACTCATTATTTGTGAATTATTGTTCATCCTTCTTTCTAATTTATCCGAAGAGCTAGTAGAAGTTTATGGTAAGATTACTTCTTTGTGAATTATTGTTGCATCCTTCTTTCTAATTTACCCGAAGGGTAATTTACCCGAAGGGTGAGTAGAAGTTTACGGTAAGATTACTTTTTTGTGAATTATTGTTCTATCCTTTTTTTTCTAAACCGTAGGAATCTAAGTTGCAAATCAATTTATTACTGAGAATAAGATTACTTCTTTGTCAATTATTGTTGCATCCTTCTTTCTAAACGGTAGGGATTGCATTGCATCCTTCTTTCTAAACTGTAGGGATCTAAGAACTGTAGGGATCTAAGTTGCATATCAATTTAATACTGAGAATAAGTGACAGGTTCTTAAGATAAACTATTAAAGTCTTTACCAGTTAAACTAACTGTTATCTTGGCATGTTCTCAAGCATGATGGCATCCATTAGCCACAACACTAAAACGTAAAACCAAGCAGAAGTTTCTCAGTCTCATTCAATCCAAAGTTACAACCCTTACAAGCAACCAGCAACAAAAAATTTTGCTGGTAATTCAAGTCAGAAGAAAGGGAGCAGATATTACACATCAAAATCAACCCACACCAGTAGGATTTTGATCCTTCTTCTCTCAAGCCTCCAATCCAACCAAGGAAGTGCTGCAGTGAACAGGTTGCAGACCCTTCTCTCTCTCTCTCTCTCTCTCTCTCTCTCTCTCAAGCTCCAAACTCCTTTGGAACACTCAAGAGTACCCTCAAGAAAGCTTCATTTCACGCTCTCCCAAGCCTCATTCCCAACCAAGACTGTACAAGGAGAAGAACCAACCCACACTATGATTGATGGTCTTCTTCCCTGTCTTATTGCATCCGACTTTTGTGCTTTGCACAGCTTCCATCACCTCTGTACACTGCTTGCTCGCTCGCCGATCTCTATCGCTAGGAAGCAGGCAACCGAAGGGGACGCAGCGCAGACACCGCCGGCGGCAGCGGGAAGGAGCACAGGTGTCCCTCGTCGTAAGACAAAGAGCCGTCGGCGTGCAGCTCCCCGGGGACAAGCGGCGCTCGGCACAGAGGGCAGGTGCACTGCCCGTGCTGCAGCCACCGGTCGACGCAGTGCCGGTGGAAGACGTGGCGGCAGTTTCCCATCCGCCGGACCTCGTCGGCGCCCTCGAACTCGTAGAGGCACACCGCGCAGCTCTCCGGCAAGCAGCGATGGCCGCGCTGCGCGGTGACCAGCTCCTGGAACCGGATCGCCGGCGAGCTCTCCTGGATCAGCTCGGCCGGGAGCGAGCAAACGCCCGTCTGGTGGTAATGGGCGTGGGCGTCCGTGTCATGCCACTGCGCTTCGGACTCCAGCAGGGCGCCGAGGCCGAGGCAGTGGAAGACCCAGTTGATGAGCCTTCTCAGGTGGGCGAAGAGGAAGAGCAGGTGGAGGAGGAGCTTCGGGAGCTCAGAGTAGCCAACCGGGAACCCCATGTCGGGATCGAAGAGCCAGAGGAGCCGATGAGCTGCGGCAGTCAGTGTAGGTCAAGCAAAGAGGTGGAAGAAAGCAGAGACGGAACGCTACAGCTAACAAGGACGTGGGTGGTGCAGAGAGGTTGCAGTGCGCAACTCACTTGCCCCTTTTTTCCCTCTCTGTGGCTGTCTGGGAAAAGCTGGTGGATTGGCCATTTTATACAGAGAGGAGGAGGAGGTGGAGGAGGAGGAGGGAGGGTGTGGGGGCTGTCCCATCTCCATCTCCATCTCCATCTCCATCTCCCCTCTCCCTCC